TGTTTAAATATTGTATAAAAAATAGTATTGAACTAGCATAATTATTTATAAGGCAAAGAAGTTTTAACAGAATAGCTCTCTAGAGCTGAATGAACAGCTTCTATATTAATAAATATTATACCAATTTGCAGTGCCTTACTTGATATTGTAGAATATTACTAGTTTTACCAATATCACCAATTTTACCAATATCACCAGTTTTACCAATGTTACTAGTTTTACCAATATCACCAGTTTCACCAATATCACCAGTTTCACCAATATTACCAGTTTCACCAATATTACCAGTTGCACTATTTTATTTTTTAAAATATACTATAGTGCACCAGTTTCACCAATTTACCTGGTGTAATTAACTAGTTTCATCTGCAACTCTAATACTTATTACTGCTGCCAATATAAAAATCTAGAAAGAACTAAATATCTTAGAATCTTTGATAACTAACTTGTATGCCAAGCCTGCTATGTGGTCTTTTACTATAACTTGGATTGAAGTAACCTCAGAAGTATCCATTTTTATATCCAAGGTAAAGAACAAGAAACCTTAGTCATCTATAAAATCTGCTAACATTTAGATATCTGATCCAGAATATATAATATAAAAAGCATAACTGAAGCCTATTGGTTTTGCAATCTTGAATATATGAGGCTAGCTAAGATATCCTCTACAACTCTAACTACAATCTCTGAATCTGAATCTAATACTACACTACTTCTTCCTGAAGTGCTAGATCCTAATATAAACTAAATCAGATGTGTATCTTCTGACTTGCAAAGATCTATTTGCAAAAAAGCAATCAAGACATTGCTGAAGCTTTAGAACCTCTTATGACTAAACAAACTAATCAGTCATAGAATGATAAGGGAATGAGTTTTATTTTTCAAGCTAAACAAGACTTACTAACTAAGAACAAAACATTACAACTCTAACAGACTCTTGATCAATCCTTCAATACTAGCCACCCAGACTTTTGTAAAGAGTTAGCTCTTGCTAACCTTCAACAAAGCTTCACTGACTCTGTAGACCTT